TGAAAATTGTACAGTCATCTACATCATTCATAACAATTACGATATCCGGGCAATTTATGTATTGTTTGTGAAGTTTTTAGGTATTGCCGTCGGGGAACGGTGACTGTCCTGGGTGGACTGCAGTTATGTGGTAGAAGCTATACGCGCTTTTTGATTGTATATCTCGGTAGTCGTCTTATTTATTGTCTTGGACTCTAAATTAATTTCGATAGATTTTTGGAAATTCAGAAAAACACACTACAGCTTAAAAAACCATGTAAAAACAATTTTATATGCTATAGATATTACGTTGCATAGTCGAGAATAAGTAGCTATAAGTATTATATAGTCGGTTTGTACCATATGTGTACCCATACGAACGAATCTAACCGAATTCGATTTTATACGTGATCGGAAAAGTTTTATAGCAAGAGGGATTACACTTGATGGATAACTGCGCTGCTCTAAGCAGATTCAAATCGCGGCTCGTCTTTGTAAGCTTGCAACTGACACAATCCGTCCGTTATGTGACCCGCCGCCGTCCTGCTCCCTTAATAGGAATCGTAGTATTTTTCCAGTCCCGCGACAATATAAAATAGTATATTATTACGTCCATCGATAAATTTGTAACGATGTGCGGTGCGGTTCGATGCCCTGCTGCCGTTCACCATTTCCGCACCTCACTACTGCCGTTTATCACCATTTCCCACCAGATCATCTAGTCTTATGCAGTTACGTCGTACAGACACACACTTAAATGAATGTATATATAAGTATATAATGTATGAGAGGATCCGGCGTTGTCCATCACTGCTTCTGATTCTGAAAGCTAAAATGCCGAGCTCTCGTGAGACGCACTTAACGATAATAATTATGATATTACGACGTGTCTAACAATAAAACAAATTCGTGCGCGTGTGTAATGTTCCAGAAGCTAAAAGCTCTTGAATCTCTTAATGTGGCAATTCGGGAAAAAAAAAGAATTTAATATAAGTTCCGCCGCGCACATATATTCTCCTGGAAGTGTATTTTGGATGCACCGGCGCGGCTAGGTTACTACTCGTATACGTATGTATATTTATTATTTTGGCCGGTGGCCAGCGGTTGACATGTATTATTTAAAAATAGGAATAATGTCCACTTGGTTATAACCATTTATTATTATATACCTATCTTTTGCAGCCGGTTATACGTACCCACCGGCCGAGGCGCATCACATATGTATAATGACCGACAACTTCGACGATGGACGCGTGTGTTTAATTATCCGTGTAATTTTATCGATATGTTGTGTAAACTTGTCGACCGCAATTTAAAATTTGTAGGTACCTACTTCATCGAGAAACGTTTTATGTTTTTTTATGGTTTCGTATACCCGTTATAATATTGTACATAAATATGACGACATATTTTGTGTTTACACGTCATTTGCAACGCGCATATAATTAATAGTCTCGTTTCAATACTAGGATATTTATTTTTATGTACATATTATTAATTTAATATATTAACGCATGCACTTTAATAATTTTAAATGTCATCGTGTGCAGTGCTTAGCGTTTTACATATTCTTATATATATTTTTTATTTTCAAATTTTAAATCTCCTAAATTCATAAACTTTTAAACTATATTTAGGTCATATATATATATATTATTATAATGCTAAAAAATCAAAACCTTGAAACATTTCATCTCGTGCAAGAATAAACCGGACTCCCCAAGTACAAAGGCTATAGTCGGCGAGCATTTAGCAATCAACCTGTTTGGAGTTGTTAATTTATTATTATTTTTCAAATTAAATTAATTATATTATGCATATTATGTTGTCCATAGTACGCAAAACATTTTACACAGAACTACAAACAGAAATCCTTACCGGTTTCAAAAAAATCAATTTACAATGTACCTACTAAGTACACTAAATTAGTTCGAACAACTAGCTACTAATTATAATGTTATAGTTATTAGATATTATTTAGTGGTACCAAATATTATTAAAACATTATATTAGGTATACGAGTATAGTAACTGTATAATATAATCGCTCTTTATTTAGTTCATCGTTATAATATAATCCTTTTTTTTAGATATGTTAAATTGTTAAAATAATGGTTGCAAATATTTTCTGAAGTATTAATGATGTATGTTATCGTTTCGATCATTTTTAACAGATCTATGACCTAAATTTTATTGTGATAAATTTAGCTGTGTCCGCAATTTGTTTGAGTGGGATTTTTATTAGAATTTACAATGTGTAGTGTGTTACCTAGAACTGAATACGCCCTTATAATAGGACTTTTTTAATAACTGTGTTTAAGTTAGATTTTTTTTTTTATTTTACATATTATAGTGTTTTCGATTGTGATACAATAAATAACAATGTTTACATAATATATTTATATTCAGAATGTTTTAGAGCTTGTCTCTGACCGTTTATGAGTTAAAAATGTTGACAATCCTTAATTTTATAAATTATTATCTAAAAATAAAACTAACGACCTCAACAATAAAACAATAACCACATTAAAATATTCTTAGTCATTATATAAAATCGTTATTGTGTCAGATATTAAATAAATTAATCCATATTATATTATTGAAATTTGAGAGGATCTCTCCTATTAATATTCGGTGTAGCACATATTTTAATATACTATAGTGGTGGGAAACTTAATATATACTGTTTTAACAGTTGTACGATGTACGGATCATTTTTCACATTTTTTCCATAAATAACTGAAGAAATTTAACGGTAAATAATAAGTTCCGACCTATTATCAAATCTTTTAACACCCTTCTGATTCAATTTAGAATGTTTTTCGAATTATAAATGATTTTTATTGAATTCTTATATTGTATATATATATTATATACTTATATAAAATTACTCTAGTTTAACGTATTAGAATTAATCGTTTAAGTTTTATTTAATATATGACTAAAAATTGTTATTTTAAATAATGCTACGAAACAAATACATTTAAAAATTATCATCTTTAATCTTTATAAATACTTATAAATATTTCATATATATTTTTTTTCTATGATGTAATTGTGTTAAACAAATTATAATATGTGTAGTATCTTAAATTAAATATATTTATTGTTATTCTTTCGATATTTATACTTAAAAAAAACAACCATCAGTATTCGTATTTATGTTATTATGTTAGGTAATCAATGTAATGTATGTGCATTTTCATATTTATCATTACTAAATTAATCATAAATTATTTTAACACTTCGTTAAAATAATATCTAATTTTAAATGCATTTCTTTATCAGCCATTATTTACATTTACTTAGATTTAAACTTAGTTTTTATAGATTATTCCATAAAATATTAAAATATATACTTTATAGTAATATTATTATCTTACTTTTAATTTGTTTTAAGTTCATATTTTTAACAATAAATGTAATGCTATATGTGTATAGTTTTTTGAGATATCTTATATAATTAAATAAAATGTGTCTTATGTTAGAAGGTATACAGTATACACTTAATGGTATTTTTAAACTATATAATAAATTATAGTTCTCATAGTTATATATTGCGTCTTTTCTAATAGGTTTACTTATTTATATTTATTATTAATTTTATTAATTACTACATATCGGGTATTCATAGTATTTAATGTTTTGGAGAAACTTTTGAGTTATAAAATTATTAATTATAAGTTATTATTTTTTTTTTTTTTTTAAATGTATTACTATAAAACATTTCCTGCTTGAAATATCTATAAAAATAAATTGTTTTATGAACTGGGATAAAATAATATGATTCATGTCAAGTTATAATGTGAGTAGTAAAGTAATTAAATAATTAGTAGATTAAAAATAAGTTATCATAGTATTATTAAAGAATTAAGTAATGAGGACGAAATTGTCTTGAGTGGCGTTTTAGTAATGGGCGTGTGTGAATAATAAGTGCATTGTACCTGTTGATTTGTAAATGGATTTGAAGAGATTTTCAACCAAACTTTTCAATGTGATCTTGAATTTTAAGATTTTTGTGTGTTTAGGTAATATTTTCAATTTATTTAAGAATGTTTGTTGCCCTCAATAAGATAAGCATAATATTATGTAAGCAGTTTATGACCTATAATTGATCATAAACAAGCAGCGATTTTTTCTTCTAAATTATTAACTTCTTGTTTATATTACGTAATTGCGTAACTAGCTGTTGATAACCTCGTTAAGCTTTAAATGATTAGTGTGGCCACCAAGTTAATAATTTTATTCAATGGTCAGCTTTCAAAGAATTGTTGAAAATGACAGATGGTGAATATATATATAATATATATTATTGTTACAATGACTATGACGTAGATTAAACAATATGCTTAGGTTAAGTTATTACTATTTCCACATTAATTAATGAAGATGATAAAGTATTTAAATAATTTTATAAATCTACTGTTATTGCATTTATGTTTCAAGATACTTTGTAAATTGTTGTATTAGAAAAAAAAATGGATAAGATTAATTTATGGCGTCTATATGACGGTATCTGAATTATTGACCTTATATTTAATATTAAGTGGGGCTACAAGTATTGCTTTTTGAGGAACACAAGCAGTTGTTATCCAATTAAATAGATAACATTATTTTAGCTCATAAAAATGTACAAGAAAAAAAAATAATATAAATTCCACTAACTACTGGTGTATACTGTGCACTTAGTATTGCAATGGGGGTTTTTTTTTTTTTAATTTAACTATATCAATGGTTAAATAATTATTCAATCATTGAATCAGTGCTTATAATCATGAAAAACTTTATTATTCTACATAATAGTTCACCCATCTTACATATTTTATTGATAGTTTTAAATACTTTCAACAGTTACAATAATGTAAATATATAAGCAATATAAGCAATTAGTAGTTCTGTAGTAGTATAATGGATACTTGTAAAATTTTATTTCATCGAATAATAATTGTAATGAGTGTGAACCAAACCTTGTTATTAAGCATAAGCTTAACAAAATAAAACGTTATTATTTATCTGTTACAGATCACAACTTAACGATAACAAAAACAGATGGCAAAACGATACCACCACAAGTCAATAAAACTGCAGCTTCCGCAGCGGTGGCAACAAAAATCAAAGATGCTAAAAGAGATACTGTGGATCGAGAAACTCTGCGACTTGTTGAGACACAACTGGATCATGTCACTAAAGGTTTCGACGCGGTATCTGTACTCTTTCAATACCTTGTCAACGATGTGAGTACAACACGTTAACAATTTGTTAACGATTTTAAACTAACTTGTTAAAAAATTAAATAAACTATTAATGTTTGTCCAAAAATCGTTTTGACGTGTTTCATTCAATCTTGTAATAAATTACGTTAAGTAATATAATTGGAAATAAGAACAATGTTTTTGACAGCGAACAAAGTATTCTTTTTTTCTGTCAAAAAGTTTGTTTTTTCATATCGGAATTTTCTTTTAAAAATACGTTCAATTATTCCAACATTAGTATTATTTATATTGTTTTATTTTTTCGTTCTGTTTACGTTAATCAAAAAAATTCATCTCTGTTAACTTTTAATTTTTTCAATTACAACCTATGGTTATATCATTTATATTTATATATGACTTTAAAAAAAAAAAAATTTTTGCGTTGATGAACGAGGTGGTATTTAGCAAAATTTGTGGTCATACTATTTAAAAATAACTATTGCATTATATATAATATATAAAAAATAAACTATTTATTAGAAAATATTATAGAAAATTTAAAGTGTTAGAATTGCATGTGTATAGTATGTTTCTCAGATTCCCAAGTTAGTTTGGTATATATGTAATAAATAGTATAATAACAATAATATAATAATTTTGAAGTAATGAGCAATCATAGTTTAAAAAATCGCCCTGTATGTGTCTATTACCTTTATAATAATAATTGTATGTTACAGATGTAGTATAGTAAGGTTTTGTTGTTGTTGTTGTTATTGTTGCTGTTGAGTTATAACCTCCCCACTCGACCACCCCTCCATTAACCACGCCTCAACATGCGACTTGTTCCGATTCTGAAGTTCGAACCATTTATATTTAATAATAATAGTAATAGTAAATACGATTTTTTACTATAAAAACTGAATACCGACGTACGATAATATATAATACATTCTTCGGCGAGGATAAGTCGTTTTATCGTTTTTCTCCTTCTTTATTTCAAAAAAAAAAAAATCTAAAAAACTTGTTGCGAGTATAGAATAGCTTTGTGATGGTTGGGATAAGTCCGAAGTGAGTTATGTTAACGTTTCCCCCGGCATTGATGTATGGTATTGTTTTTTTTTCTTTATCGAAAACGATTTTAATATACCTATGTGGAAATCATCTGCCGTACTTACAGTGATGCACACTGACGCTAATGACGAAACGGTGTGTAAATATTTTACTTGAAGCAAATTAAAGCGCTAAAAAAATGGAAAACTAAATATTATGTCTTTTATAGTTAGTGTAATTAATATTTTAGTTGTGTCAAACAGTGTGTTTAATTAAAAATACTAAAATTAATTAGTTGAACAATTATAGTCAAATCAACTAACTTTATAGTTATTGCAACTATATAAACTAGTAATTTAAATATAACCATATGAAACGGTTGGTGTACAAATAATAAACAATTATAGCAACCATAACCATGGTGCGACTTTCCCGCCTAATTCAAAAGTTAGAATTTTGTTCTAAGTAATACTAATTTAATCATTTAAGATCAAAATTTGGTTTGAATACAATTAAAAACGTATGAATACTTCGAATAACTTTTGTCACATTACACGTGCGATAACTAGTTCAAGGAAGAATAGCCTGTACACTCCACGATGTATACCTCATAATCACATTATAGTATTTAAATGGCATATTAAACTATATTCGCAAAAAAGGGTTAATCGTTTACACTCTATATGGATTAATATGTAATTTCAAATAAACTAAAGTGCTCGCTATTAAATCGAATTCCATGATTTTACAATATTCTCAATAATCGTGGTTTTTGGATTTGTTTAAATATATGTGACGTGTTTAAAGAAATTCTAAGATATGCTGCATTATTGCAACTTATAAGCTTTATTATAAGTTTACAATATTGCCATCGTCATTTGTTTATGACCTGTGTCTGCGTCTGCATCTACTTTTGCAACCAGATGTATAAATGTGTTTGATTTATTACATTGTATAACTTTTTCATTTGTAAAAATGTAAATGTAACTTAGTATGAATAATGATTTAATGTAATACCTACCTATTTTTAATATTTATTGTCCATGAAATTAAAAATTTGATTATTTTTAATCATTGTTATCAATTAAAATTTATACTTATAATTTTTTCTGATTATTTTAATACCTAGTGGCTAATGCTTATATTATTATCACGGTATGGTATGGTGCATACTTTATTCCTTTATGAAAATGAAATACATTTACCTATATTTATTATATTAATATATTTATTTCTTCATACATTTAATATCAAATCAACTGCCTAATATATACTATTTATATTTTTAATTTTTATTATTAAATCTTAAACACAAAAACAAATCGAAAATTGAATGATAAAATAAAAATATTTAGACTTTTCAAAAAAATTAATTTCTATAAATAATAATTTTTGTGACATTTCATGTAATATGATACATACCAAGGTAGATTAGGGCGTTAGGACATAAGATTCATTAGGGGTTTATAGTCTTCTAGGTTCGATCCCGACCTGATGGGTTATTTTTTCATATTTTTATTTTTTCAAATATTTTTAATCACAAAAAATAGTTATTTTTAACTATAATAACTAGTTAATTCTATTATTCATTATAGTTAAAATTTTAACTATTATTTTATAGTTATTCCAACTATATAGATTCAACTAATTCATTTTAGTACTTCCTACTATACATTTATTGTGTCACTATATTAATCTGAGATTATGGTTGGGTTAATCATTTATGTGGTTGTAACAAATACTATTTTTTTTTCCTTGAAAGAGCAACTAAATTTGCATATTTTTTATAAGAAAAATTAAAATTAGGTTTATATAGGTAACTGAGAAAACGAAAAAAGATAAATTATAAATAAAAAAGGAAATTTTATAATGTAATATTTTCAAAATTATTTTTCAATATAAACCATAGAATGGTTTCTTTAACAATAAAACTTTACCATAGACAATCTGCTTAAAAAAAAATCTAGTTGCATCATTGCGATCAAGGGGGAAAGTAAAACGTATCTTATACAATATATATTAATTATTAATTTCAAAATTATACTTTGTATATTGTTTAAAATATGTATTATAAATTATAACTTAAAATCACAAATTATAACTTATTATTCTTACTGAATAATTATAATTTATAACTATTCAGTATGGTAGTAATTTTACCATTCTATCGAATATTTATGATATCTGACGAAGTTGTCTTTTTAGTAGTAGACGAAACAAGTGTTCCTTTGAACACATTTTTTGAACAAAATTATTCGATGTGTCTTATGAAAATCAAAAATATTATTGTAATTATTATTATATCGTTATTTTCAATAATTTTCGCTTTGAATATAATATATATCGTATATATAAAGAGAAAGAAATAGAAAACGCCGCCTACGCGAATGTTTCACTATTATATATAGATATGTATATTTTATATTAATTTGGTACGCTGTTAATGATGTTAAAGCGTCCGTGTTAAATTATTAATGGAACGAATTCAACTCGGGTCTTGGATACATTTAATATATATAAAAATACCTAAATTCAAGTTAAAAAATATGCTCAAACAACTTTTATTATTACTTTTTTTGTAACATCACTCAATTGTTTTTTTTTCAATTTAATTATTTTTGGATATACCATGCACAGGGGAAGTAAAACAAAAATATATCATAAATCTCGTGTTTATTCCGGCTACGACGATGACGACTTGACTTCCGGGAACTATTTTAAATTTCCATACCGTAAACAATAATATTAAAACCTGAGGAGCGCATCACAACGGATGTGACGGTTAGGAGTAATATTTGTGGGAGGGGGGCGTCTAGTTGCATTTTCGAGCTTGTTTCACTGTAGTCAATGGGATCGTTCGTCGAGTACGGTACGCGACAATGATGGTTTACCATCGGCAATATGCTGTATTCGTGGTTTCTAATTATATAATCGAACAGCTGTAGCAGTGTTGTCTACTGCCGAGTGGACCTGTACGACGGTATTTATGTTTTATACCTATATACATGCGCTAAACGTGTATTAATGTCAATCGATAGAACTTCGGACGAACGACCGTTTAATTGCGTCTTCTTGATCCACCGATCATCGTTCTGTTTCGTTTCGCGGCTTTTTATACACGTACTTGCCATCCCGTTGCTATTACGTCCCCCCCCCCCCCCCAATTTTAACGTGAATATTATTATGTTAAGTTTGTTCGCATACAGCCTTAATATGGTACCTAATTGATTTTGTTATTTTGATTTATCACGTAATTTACGTCAATTCGATATTTTGCTTTTTTTTTTAGATGGATGCTCTCTCTACAACAAGGCTGAAACAACAGTTGGATGCAAATCACAACGATTTAGTATCAACTAAATGTTCATTGGGTATGTAATTTTTTTGTGAATATATATATATATATATAAATTTAATTTAACAGCCTTAAAGGAGACATTTTTTTCTTTATGTTATTGTAATTAATAAATTATTACGCATGTTTAACAACACAACATGTTTCCCTATTAATCAAGTTTATATATAAATGTATGACATAACAATGATATATACACAGCACACGCATATCTATAATTGTGCATTTATAATATTGGTATCCTGCAAAATGACATAATTTGACAAATTTCAATAACTGTTACAGATGAATCTCGGGCGAAATGTATTCAGTATCAAGAAGAAATTTTTAAACTTCAAAAAGAAATCGATGACTATAAAAACAATTTGGAAATTAAAGAAAAACTCGTTAATGAAAGTAAGAATCGTTGCCTCTAATACGTAATATTACTATTTTTAACTGTAAAATACAATTTTATACATTCCACTGTTACACATTCATTTAAACGTTGTGTTTTTAGTAACTTCTCTAAAAGAAACAGAAATCTATGGACTAGAAAAGAAACTCGAAGCGCAAGCAAATAACTTGAGGTTGCAATTCAACGAAGAACTCAACAGACACAGGAATGAATCCGATGAGGAGAAAATGAAATTGATAATTTCGCATGACCAACAAATCGTCGAACTCCAACAAACCAACAAACTTGAAATGTCTCAGATGCAAAAGTCGGCTACAGAAAAACAGATTGAACTCACCCAAAGAATTTTAGTGTTGGAGAACGAACGTGATTTGTTAGAGTCCGAAAGAGATGTACTAAAAGAAGAAAACCAGCGTTTAATCGAGGACAAAAAATTACAAGTAATTATTTTGGAGTTGAAAATCGATTTTTTTGGAGTATAAATTAATTTCTTTACTTTTTTATTTTATTTTATAGAATACAAGTCTTGGTTACCAAAAGTTATTGGACGAAGTAGAATCGCTGAGAACCGTACTGGAGTTGAAGAGTTCTGAAATGCAAGACCTCCGTAAACAAAACGAAAAATTACAGAGAGAAGGTGATGATTTACCAGCGATTTTGCAAAAATTAGAAGCGGCCCAGTCTCGAGTAGAAGATTTAAACGTACAGCTACAGAGAAAGTCAGAAATCGAAATGTACGTGTATAATAAAAGGCATTCCATTTTAGTTATAAAATTATACGAAATGTATTACATATACTATATAGTAATTTCTATAATTTAACCTCATCGTAAAGACGAATTGAATGTCAATATTATTCTTGGGCGTTGGCTTATAAAAATAACAACCTGAGTTCGGGATTTTAAACGCTTAAAACCATAAAATTATGCACTAATTAGTTCTTATAAAAAATATATAAACATGTGCTGAAAATATACTTAGAAAAATATTAAATTTTTTATATTTGAAATCCACAACAATAATAATGAAAAAAATATATAATATACTAATAAGACATCATAATTTATTAACACTATAATTATTTATGTGAAAAAAATATTTTTTATTTATTTTTAGATTCAGATAAATAAAATAAAATAACTTTGGCGCGTTTTTTATAATTTAAATTTAAATCTTTTTCATACCCAAATTATTTAATTTTTATTTTTATATTGGTGTATGTACAACAATCCTAATGCTATTATATGCTCTTACCCTCAAAATATACAAAATAAAATTATATATCTTAAATCTCCATATTTTGAAACAAATCACTTTACAATTGTCTTGATGTATGGATATTATGCAAAAGCTATACGACACAAGTCCTGATAATAATGTAATAAAACTTTTGTAAGACGATGGGATCTTAATAAAGTTTTTGTTCTTATTTTATCACATAAATATAATAAAATTATGAAATTATGAAATTATGAAATTTTATTAATGAAGAAACCACGTGAATCGCTGAATTTTGCCATGTAAATACAAGGTAGGTATTGTAATAATCATTGTTTTTATCGCGTTATATAGGCAACTCAGTCAAGAAAAAGATCAAATGGCTCGTGAAATTGACTTAGAAAAACAAAAAAAGAAACGGCTGTCCTGTCACAACGAAGAATTGCAGTGGAAACTGAAAAAGAGTACTGAAGTTGCCAACCATTTAGCTGTGTCGACAAAGAGATTGAGTAAGTTATTGGGACTCGTTTAAATAACGGTTGTATGTGTCTATTATGATTTTTATAAAGAAAAAAATGTTTAATGTAAAGGCCAAACACCGCAAGATCTTGCAGCTATGAGAGAGGCACAAAATAACTATCAGAAACTTTGTAGCAGGGAGAGCTCAAATTCAGAAAACAGGTATTATTATTATTATTATTTTATGTTTATCTAAATTATTATTGTTTATTATTTTTACTATGTATTATTGAGCATGACGTTTTCTTAGAAGTGATATAAAGGCATTTAACGTATTGTGTTTAATCTATGATCACTATTAAATTTTTGCGCTACCAATTGTTATCTCCGTGATACGAATACTGTAAAATTGTCTCTGTAGGTAGTGAACTTGTACTTCTAAAGATAGAATAGAGGTGGGTATCAAAAATACAAAAATTTAAAACAATTTAAATTAATTAGTTCAACGTACTAAAGCTTCATATTTCATTAACTTAGTTTATTTACGTCATGACTTAAAAGTAACGCTGTATTTTTTTTTCAACTTTTCCTACTTCTCAATTAAATTAAACTTGAATTTCTTTAGCATTTCTTTGTTTGTCTCCTGAATATAAACGCTAAGTATTTTTTTTTTTTTTTAATGCCATTTGTACCATTGGTGTAAATGAAAAAAATTTAGTTAATTTATGTTAAAATTTCAATTAATTTTTTAATATTCCACTGTTAATATATACCTAATAAAAAAAAAAAAAAATTTGTTTATTTCTTTATGAATTAAAAATATATTAATGTAAATTATATTTCATAATTTTTCTCATTTATATTTTATAAACTTGTTTATTATAAATAGCCAATTTTTTTTTTCATACTCAATCTTTATACGTACACTGTTGTAAAACTCACGAATCTTTCACTTATTCGATCACGGAAAAATGTCTTTTTTTCCCAAGTCGGAATGTAATATAAATTTCCGATTTCTCCCAACATAACCCAATCAACAATTTTATCAGGGTACAATGTCGACGTATCACGTTTAATTATATTAACGATAATATGATTTTCAGCGGTGACGAGGACACGATGATCAGTCAATTGGTGGAGGTTGATTCGGAGGCGCCAGCCCGGATACTGGGCGTGATGAAGAAAAACGATTCGTTGTCGTACGTGTTCGAAGTAGAAGAGGAACCGTCGGAGATCGCCACGCGGCTGTTGCGCCGGGCCAGCAGCCTGCGGTCTGTGGGCAAATCGCGGACGCGTGCTCGAGGACCGGCAGGTGGCGAGAAACGGTCCAGAGCTAGCTCGCAGTCGGGTGGCGGCTCGTCCGACAAGTCGGTGGAACTGGATTCGGCGCTCACCCGGAACCTGGACGAGTTGTTTGCACCCGGCCCGACCGACAGGTATCTGAGTGACTGTTTCACGTGCAGCTCGGACTCGTCCAATTCGTCGCCGGAGCACCATAACCACATGCAGACCTACGAACAGAACCGTGGTCCGTCCTACGTACAGATAGTCGCCGAGCAGACTGGCGGTGGCGATAAGGCCCAAGGCGGAGGACTGGCTATCGTCTGAGAAGATTTATTCGTCGTTGTCGTACGCAATGGTGATGGGGGATATGGGAGGGAAGTCCTATAAGTGATATAATATTTAGATTCTTATTTCATGTTCGCGCACAATACGCATTCTTTAATAGACTAATTTTTTTTCTCGTTAGAATGTGCCAAAAACGTACGAATGTTGTTATATTCACAATCCGTATTTATATAATATTTTTATGTGTGTTTAATGTAAAAATCTAAGTACCTTTTAATTTTTAGCGCTAATGTCGTTTTGAATTTTTATTACGATTTTATTTTGTTTTATAAAAGCGCGAGCGTGTGTGTATTTTTTTTCTTTAGTAACTCTTAAGACTGAATTCTTTTAAAAAAAAAAAAAATTGACCAAGTCTTAGGGAAAATTTTTTTTTTTTTAAACGTCAAGAGATAATAATTTTTAATTTTTAATTGTATCGCTTACACAGTGTTAACTATGTTTTTATTTTAAGATTTAAATGTTTATGATGAATTCTAATGAACCAGCGTTTTATCATTTAATTTATTTGTTTTTGCGAGGTAGAGGTGTAATGCCTAAAATGTATTTTAATCCCTGTGACCACAATACCACATAAATTAAATTTTATGATTTATGCGTCTTAGTCTTGCGTCATTGTTAGTTTTTACTGTTGTAATTTATTTATATTTTTAAAACAATACCACACAAATGAATTATGAGTCGGTTCACCTAGCGTTTCATTTGTATTGTATAACTTAGACTTGTCTGACCAGAATATAAGTTATTTGATGCTTTTGTGTCAAACATTATACATTAGGCATGTAAAATGTATTTTTTATTATTTTATTTTTCTTAACGTTCGAAAAAATTTTTTCGGAAAACATATATGCATTTATTCTCACTATCTATAAATTAATTTACGTTTTCTCTAAAAACCTTGTACTTTCCTTTTTCTATCCTATGTATCGTCTAACTTTACCTTTTCTCTTGTACTTACACTAAATGTTATTTTTATAAATTCAATTTTAATGTTCATTTACAAACATTGTAGATACCTGTAAAATTTGTCAAAAGAGCTTAGACAAATTTTGTTTTTCAAAATTGTCATTTTGGAGTGTTAATATTTTTTTTTTTTTTAATTAGTTTTTAGTTTACTTTGTGATATATGTGTGAATATATTTTATATATATTATAATATTGTGTAATGTATATAACATGTTCTGTTTGATTACTATTATTATTATTTTGTTTGTTTGTTTGTTTGTTTGTTTGATTGATTTCTAAAGATTTTGTTACAAAATGTTTATGCCGATAAATCGGGTATGTATTTTAAATTTATGTTCATCCTATTGAATGTTTATTAATATATTATACAAAATGACGAATCTACGTAAACCGACTACATATTTTTATTATTCTTTCTGTAAAATAGGTGGCTTATTCACATCAGTATGTTTAGCCATATCCTTCATTTAGTCAATACAATATTTCTACATGTAAACGTTACATTATGTGTATTGTAATTTGTAAGTGATATTATTTACGATTAATCACTATTTGAATGGCTTCAACTACCATAATAATGTATGTACTATGTATGCACATTGAGTCATCTATGTTCAATAAAAATATGAAAAAATATATATTGTAATAATAAGTGTTAGATTTAGTGGAAAACATTATAAATATTTTATTTTGTTGCTATCTCAAAGGTTTTTTTTAAATTTGTACAACAAACCAATAATATCAGATGAGTAAAACCATGTTTAAATTTAAATCTATTTATGATTAGGTTTTGTGTATAATAAAGAAATGTTTGATCTCTTATAGCTTGAAAGATATTTTAAATTTAATTTTCTCCTTTTATACTACTTTAATATTTTAAAAGAAAAAAATGGTTTGTTTTAATATATACATTCTAATCTATATAGTTAATCATGATGAATAGTATAAATATTTAGTGCAAAATTATAAATAGATTTATTAATTTATAAATATATTAAGTAATATAAATAGATGTATAATACAGCTATAGGATACGTCTATAAAAGAGTACGATATTGAGCCCAAGTTCTAAATCTAGTCTTCCACCATTATAATAAATAATAAATTAATGTACTCATTAATATGTAGGTGCTTTATAAATAGTTACCTATATTTATATTATAATCTCGATTAAATGGGTAACGTGGAGAACAAAATTGCTCATTGTGTAATCTATGATCAAAAAATAAGGTTAAGACTTCAGTACCTCCATTTAGGAATTTAATCTTCTCTCCCTATATTTCGATTTTTTTCCATTATACGAGTATAATTATATTAAAATATTATATGAGTACATTTATTTTTTTTAATAAGATCCTCTATTCAGTGGTGTAGTGGAGCGTTTACGCGAGTATTTGGGCATATGGCGTATATACCTACTTCTCTGTTTTTCTATAAGTGCGTATACTTATAGAATAACATATGAATATGTTATGGAATGCATTTATTTTATAAACCAATTGGCAATTTAATAAATAATTTTTGATTAATAAATAAAATTTCGAACAAACCTTATCGATTTGACGGTTTCTATAAATAATCAAAACAGTTGCTAATATTAAAAGTATTCATAGTATTACGGTATAATCCAAAAGCGCAAATCATCGATATTCTTCGATAGACCAAAAGTGTAAAAATAAATACTGTACCCGTCACACTATAAGTTTAATTTTAAAACCATTAATTATTAAATTAAATTATTCATTTTAATTAAATATATGTATTTTTATAATTCAAAAATATATTATCAACAGTGATCGAGTTCAGTTAAAGTTCCGTATTATAGTAACAAATTACAGTGAAGGTTAATAATTATTTAAGATAACTACACAATTTATTCATTATAAACTTATACCGACTTATAAAATACATTTTACTTTTGTAAAATTTATTTGCGTTTTCGCACTTACGGGCTACAGCCTAGTATTTTTTAATATAATATACGACAGTACAACACTGTAATTATTAGACATTAATATCACAGCGTAGGTATACAGACCATAGAGTTATTTAGATACATTGTGGGAAAACGTAATATATGCAACTGGTAAGATGGTAACAGATCTCGAAAAGTTGCACGGATCAAATTAAATGAAGAAAAAGCTAGTGTGTGGACAATTTTATAATTTATTTATTTGTTTATAATATTTATATGCCATTTTCATTTTCATTTGCTTATTATTTTATAAGCTAAGTATGTTAGGTGCCTAAATATATACCAAATTTAACAGTAGCTCAACATACCTGTAGTGATTTCAAAGAGTTATGAGATATATTTTATTTTGTATTTTAATATTTTTCTCTAGTTCTGTTTTTGTTTTTATTAACTATTAATATGTATAATCAAAACTTAAAAATCTATTATTTGGTTAAAACCACTTAATGAATATTATTTGATTACTTATTATTTAGGTAATCATAAAAAATTAAAATGTATAATATATTTCTAGGAATATGATTGTAGACTGAAGAGTGAAGAGATTCAATTGCGGCATGGTAGTAATAAAGTGACATAATGTATCTATGTAATTATAAATATAAAAATAATAATAATATAGTGTATTAGGGAGGTGTAAGGGGCGAAGCCCTCTACGTTTACATGTCAAGCACATTTAAGCGTATACTTATTAAAAAAATTACGGCTACATCACTGCTACATCACTGGGCTATTCCCAACTATTGGATATTTTCGCGTACGGAAAATTTGTGCGGTCTGTATGCATAATAATTAATATTAGACTAAATTATTTTATTCCACCATATTCATTGATCCAATAATTTTTATGTTTAAAACCTGCAAAATATATTTAATTTAGATCCTATTAACTATTTATTCTATTTAGTTTTAAACTGTTAAACATATTTTGTACATTTTTACATTCTTACAGAAATTTTTTTATGAGTATGTACCAAAGTCTAAATCATTGTCCGTAATTAAATTATAAATAGCTTTAAGTTAATCAAAATATTATTTATACACAATACACTGTATTTAATGCAGGTATACAAAGTAGATAACTATAAAATTATGTCAATATTTTCGGATTATTTATAATATAATGATATGCTGATATACCATTGTATATTTTTAAGATAATACCGGCCTAGTAGTCGCACGCAAATAACGGTTACTTAGTAAAAACTTAAATTACAATAATTTTGAACGAGTAATAAATTATGATTATTTATGAGTTTTGACTTATGAATATAAGTATTAAAAGTTTTGATGAACGTAGTAGAATGCCTACAGTGGTATATGATTAATCAGTATCTACTGAGTGATGACTGGTGACTATAATAGTGAGTAATTGCAAATTATCTAAAAAGATATTGGTATTCTAAAAAATTTTATTTATTAAACTTTTATAAAAATAATTATTCAAAATTAGATTTTTATACCTACATCCGAAGTTATACAAAAAAAATGCTTCGAAATATGAAAAAAAAAATGTATAAATTACTTATTGTCCTTCAAAAAAAAAAAAATAACTTAAAAATTATGAATAACAATAATTTATAAAATATAATAAAAAAATAAATGATTTATACGACACAAACTTATCAATTAATTTAATTATTCATCTATGCTCTTGTATATTCAGTTGTATCATTGTATACTTAAGACTTCATCTAATATTCTATTATTTCTATTAATTAAATTAATTATAATCTCTCATTAAAATTCAATTTTTTCTTCCATATCATTAACTAGGTAGGTACTCAGAGGGAATCAATTCTTTACCATCAATAAAATTAGTTTGACACATTGTTGTATTTAGATTTAATACTTTAACGAAATTAATAAATCTAGTTTATCAATAAATATACAGGTACTAGTTAATTATCTATATTGATCATATTTATAAATAAAAAGACTGAAGATGTATACGAATCCCTGTGAAGTTAATTTTAATTGTCTTCAATAAAATACTTTATTTAAGAAATTATAGAATTCGACGATTGCGGACTATAATGTAAAAATTATAATATCATCAATACTAATTTTCAAAATATTTAAGAAATTGATTTTTCTGCAATAAAATATGAAAAAAAAATTATGATTTAAAAAAAATAATGTATGCTGATTGAGCAAAAAAATTATAACATAATCATCATCGTCGACGTAAGAGAGGTGTTTTCTTAAATAACAGTATTTTACACTTCACTTCCCAGATAGCAAAATTAGTTTCACAGAACATTTTAAAAATGTTACTAGGTTGAATT